GCATTGTTTACGTCTAGCTGATGAATGTGCCAATCACGATTAGTGGCAACCGCTATCAAACAACGAACAGTAACTAGCTTGGCCACCGGGGCGAACGTGTCATGATATTCAACACCCTCAATCTGTGTATAACCTTTCGCGATGAGACGCCCCTTATAGCGCTCTATGCTGCCGTCGGGACGATACTTTATTTTAAACACCCATTTCGAATCGATCAACCACTTGCCAAGAGGAAGGTCAACGAGACTCCAAGTTCCATTTGCGACAAGAGCAACTATTTCTTTCTCCATTGCCTCGCGCCAGAAAAGCCCGATACTCATGACTAACACGGGAGTAAGAAACATGAGCATAGAGGGGATATGTTACCGTGTTGGTGACTTGCTCATCAATAACATAGTTTTCCAAGTACTTAGGTCGGGTGCGAACACGATCTCCTCGACGTAGGGGAATCTGATTGCCGAGAAGAGGAGGACTACCACTGGGGGAAGTCGACTTTGCAGGAGAACTGGAGGATTGATCTGGCGCTGCAGGTGGCGCATGTGATTGTGCAGCAGTTGAACTTGACAAGGATGAAATCTCTTTTTCTTGGGTCGAGCTAACAGGAGGGGACCCGGAATGTGATGGTGAAGAAACATCAATATCGTCATCTATTACTTGAATATTGCCATCAACAGGTGGCACCCAATGCAACAAAGAGGGCTCTGGTGACCGAAATGGGAAAATGGCCTTCAAAGAACTTAACATCACGAGATACAAACAATTGTTGAGTTACCAAATCGTATAAACGATAACCCTTCTGGCCAAAAGGATATCCAAGAAAGACACACGTATGCCCCCGTTCGGAGAATTTGTGTAAATTGCAGTGGGTGTATTTTTCATAAAAAAGGCACCCAAAGGTGCGCAGATGCTGATAAGACGCAGGTGAGCCAAACAAAACCTCGAACGGTGTCTTGCCAGTAGCTTTTCTAGGCAGACGATTGAGCAAGTATACAGCTGTTAAAACGCACTCTCCCCAGAACTCAATGGGCAAACCAGCATGGAAACGAAGAGCGCGGGCTGTATCTAATATATGTCGATGCTTTCGCTCGACAACTCTATTTTGCTGTGGAGTGTCGACACAACTAGTAAGAAAGCTAATCCCATGTCGAGAATAATAGTTGAGCAATGCACTAGTCTAGAATTCTGTACCATTATCGGTCTGAATACCCCGTTGACCAAACTGTGTCCCCACCATCTCACAGAACATCATCAAGTAAAGACCAACATCAGACTTGAAACGGAGCAGATAAACCCATACACTGTGACTATAATCATCACCGATAGTGAGAAAATAATGAGCTCCGCTCAGAGAAGCAACTTTATAACCTCCCCATTAATCCAAATGAATGAGATCAAAACATACCGACGTCTTTATCGAACTAGGGGCAAATGGTGTTCTAACTTGTTTCGCACGAGAATAAGAATGACAATGTTCACCAACTAAATCATCAACAAAATTAGGAGATAACAAAGACTTCAGCTGCGACATCTTATCAATGGAGGGATGACCCAACCTCGAGTGCCAAATTGCCGCAGAAGCATCATCGACTCTTGCCGCAAATGCCAAGCGCTCCCTCTCACTGAATAAGCACAGATAGTAAAGCCCATCACGGAGAATCCCCTTCCCAATCACGCTCCTGGATTGTAAGTCCTGAAGAATGCAAAAGTCACAGAGAAAGATTAAAGCCACTTGATTCTCCTTTGTCAGTCGGCTTACCGAAAGAAGATTACAACGAAACCCGGGTACATGTAGAACCCGATCCAACTGTAGACCAGATGATAGTAAAACGGATCCCACCTTCGCAACAGGAACACTATCCCCATTGGGTATCTTAACTGGCCGACTTGACCTATCCACAGATATATTTCTTAAAATAGAATCATCGGAAAGGATATGTTCGTTGCAACCCGAATCAATTAACCACTCAGTTATAAAGTAGGACGTACCTGCCATGTTGGAATAGGCGATTCGGCTGCCTTTCCCTGGCCAAAAAACACCTTTGACTGTTCAAGCTGCTGCATAGTGAATCCAACTACTGGACTCTCCGACTCAACCTGAGATGCCTTAGGCTGCGACTCTTCATCACGTCATCTCCGACTGGCAGCATTGTTGTTCTGCATCCCTTGTGAGTTCCTGTCACGATTTGGCCAACCTATAATGTCAAAACAAGTTTCATTTAAGTGCCAAGTCTTACCACAATGCGTGCACTTCACACGACAGCGATCTCGTCCTTCCGTGCGAGTCTCGTTTTGCTTTTGACCGCTAGAGCGATCACATCCACCATGAGTGAGGAAGGCTGCCGCCTCTGCTTGTGGTTTCCTTTTCTGGGCGATAAGCCTTTGCTGTTCATCACTAGATAGAAGGTTGAAAGCTTCTGTCAAATAGGGAATGGGCTTGGTCGCCAAAATTTTGGTTATGATAGTGTGCCAAAACTATCATCTAACCCCATTAAGAAGTCAAACAAGCGTGCCCCTTCATCTCGATCTTTGACTTTGCGTTCCAAACCACAAGTACACAGACCGCACGTGCACTTCGGAACTGGCAAAATCGACTGCGATTCCTCCCAAAACGTCCGTAGACGTGTATAGAAAGCTGAGACACTCAGCTTTTCTTGTTGCAACAAACTGACCATTCTTCGAATCTCATATGCGCGCGATGCGACGCCCTGCCCGAACCGATCTTTAAGATCAAGCTAGATCCCCCGTGAAGTTTTCGCATACCACACACTTGCTCGCACTTCCTTTTCCATGGTGGTGCGAAGCCAACCTTGTCCAGGCACGAATTCCAGCTTCATCAACGGGCTTTGTGACAGTACCATCAACAAAACCAATTTTGTTTTTGATTATGAGGGCGTCTGTCATCTCTATGATCCACTCCCCATAATTCAACGACGTTAAGACCTCTCCAACTTGCAACTGACTCGCTATCTCAGAAGCATGGAGATAAAACGGTGACAAAGGATCTTAAACCTTACCAGCTATGACCTGACTTGTGCTGGCAAGGGACTTCTCGTCCTTGTCGCCCATGAAGTTACTTCAAAAGATCTTCAGCAGGCTGAACCAACCAGACTCTGATATCATGAGAAAAATCAAGAACTGTATGCGAAAGAGACAACGAACACGACGTTTTTTAACGTGGTTCACTCCTGCAGTATGCAAGAGGTACGTCCACAGACTAGGGTTTTTTATTTATCTGTTATTCGGCCAGTGGCCTTACATGGGAGAAATATATATATGCTTCTGTACATCATCAACGCAACTACAACAAGCATTACACGCCCTACTCGGAACAGATGTCGAGTCCACAGACTAGGGTTTTTTATTTATCTGTTATTCGGCCAGTGGCCTTACATGGGAGAAATATATATATATATGCTTCTGTACATCATCAACGCAACTACAACAAGCATTACACGCCCTACTCGGAACAGATGTCGAGTCCTTGGGCTTGTCATACGATGGGCCTACATCAACATTCTTCCGGCCCAATAAGTTTGATGTTCTTTTTCTTCTTTTATATGAAACAGTAAAACTTGGAGGTATCTTTACCCGATGGATCTTGTACCATACGTAGACAAAAATAATTCGACTTGGAACGCTCAATTATTATGTATTTGATCGAAAGCAAATTGGAGAATCTCACCATATTGGACATGCTAAATAATTGGGCACAGGGAATAATGTTCGTCACGGTCTATGTATATGAAAACAAAATTAACTAAAAAGATTCTTAATTTCATAGTCAATCAAAAGTGTCTTTGAAGCGATTCCCATTTTCCACCACCAAATATGTATATAGTGAGTTATTCAAATTAGTCCCCCAAATTCCTTCTCTAGATCGATTTTATTTATCTCTTGCTAGGACCAATGGTTCGTAAGAGTACAACTAGAAAGTTCACCATTGTTCCGTCACTGCCGTAACCTACTTAAGGAACACGGTACTATATGTTATAAAAAAATTATAGAAATTTAGATTGACAAAAGATACAAGAGAAGTGTGCTTCTTATTTATTATATTTTTTTGTACAATAAGGTGTTTTATTTATAGGCACACATGTCTAACCCCTACAACTAATCAATGTACATGAATGTGATATAAGAATCATGAAGATGATTCATTTTCATGATCAATGTAGGGAGGTAAATAGCTCTTAATGTACCATTTAATATATAATCCAATGAAGAATCCAAACGGCATCCACAATACTCTATTATTTCATAATACTCTCCCTTGGTTGTCTATTAGTTAAGAGTATGCATCATTAGAACCTTACTAGAAGATTCCTATGGGATAAAATTATAGTGATTGAAAAAGTGCATAATCATCATAAAACGTTATCTCGGTTTTATTTTTCCAAGACATAACAAGAGAAATTAGAAATAAAAAATGCACCCTCATCTCATGAACCTTCCCAAAACGACACCATAGTGGAGCTATCCCGCAATATCAAGGAAACTAACTATAAAAGAGACAGTAACATGCTTTACACACCATTCTATGGGCAGACCAGTTTGCGATTCGGGGAACCGCCCTAAAGCCTATACAAAGAGAATCCGAGTACATTAGTTGATGACACTCTCGAAGCATGAGCTCTCCTAGAGAATCCTTCACCACAATGAAGATGGTGAATCACCTTCCAGTAAACGCGAGGGAGTCTTTGGAAACAATGATTGAGATAGACAAAATCTCTAGTAGCAAGAAGCTCCGCAACTAGGGATCTGATACTCTAGAATGTCAATATCAAACTGCTTGCAGAACGTCCATCTGGCCCACAAATCACCAAGCCAGAAGCACAATCAATATAACTGACAACATCAACGAAGTTGATTTGGAGGAAATTGCCAATAGGCACAACCTAGTGAGGCAAAGTTGAAGACGACGGGAGAGGGAAAATACCAAATTTATAGGAGAGGCAGAAGAGATTCACGAGTAGGTATGCGACCATTTTTTCCCATCTCCTGCCACCTCTCTGCCAACTTCTCAATTCTTCTCTGTCTCCGTTCATATGAACCAATACCACTACAAAATAGAACAAGTAATCACTGCCAAAATAATAAAAACACTAACAAAAAACAATATCATTACAATATTGACCAATAACAGTACATATTAACCAATATCATTCCAGATTTAACTAATACCAATACATGAAGGTCAATATCAATGTGATAAGATCAATATCAATATGATAAAAAAATAGAAAAAATAATATATTACATGAAAATCAATACTAATGCGAAAAGCCAATACTACTACGAAAGAATGAAGTGGCGGAGGTGGAGCCCGCCACCGTTACTGCTTTTATCCGCTACCATGCCGCTTCACACGAGTGGGAGAGTAAGAATATGGAGTAGAGGGAAGAACTCGTTGGTGTGTCACCGCTGATGTTACAATGATGACGTCGCCAACGAGGAAGAACTCGCGGGTGCTTAGGATCCTCGTTTGTTAAGCTACACAGAGGGGGAAAATAGAAATAAAGGTGGATGTAGATGTAGGTTGTCATTGTGACAACAAAAACACTAGTATTCACCCTAATTCGTTCCCACCATAATAGGCAAACACATTGGGGAATTTGTTATTAAGGGTGCTCAGAGGGTATAACGTTTCACAACCATAAGGTAAAATTGATAGTCATCTGAAATCTAGAAAAACACTTAGACAAACTAGAAATCGTATTTGAACGACTAAGGGGTATTTAAAGAACAAATATTCAATACTCTTACGGTGTCTTAAACACATTGGACATCAAGATTGGGTGGTGCGATTCTGTCTTACGTACCGGAAAAGGAATAGGATCGCGGACTGGCTCTCGGAACATAGTCTCGTCTATCCCTACGGTACGTATGAGATGTCACACCCACCCACGAGCCTCTCAAGCATTCTTAGTGACGATAGCAGAGAAGTAACTTTCCCAAGGAGTGTGATTCCTGCCTCCATTTCTACACCCTCTTAATCTTCCCCTTGTAACCTTTTTTTTTCTTTGGCCTTAGTGCCTTCGTGGAAGCAAAAAAAAAAAAGTGAGGCAATTCGCTTCTCGCCAGTTTTGAACAACCACAGCTGGTTATACCAATATGAGAGAATGTTACAAGAAGAACATTAGTTTCAAAGGAAATAGCACCACCCAAAATTTCTTTCATATGGGGGATCAATAATCATAGCTGATGAATTATGACTGTTGGCCAAGCAATTCTCCATACCTTGATGATATCACTCTTAACCGAATAATTAAATCTTTTGTTTAATGCCAATATAATCTCAGCTAAATAAGTCAAAGGCCAATCATTAACATCAGAAAAAATCAAAGGCCTTATTGGCCATAAATCTCGCCAGGTAGGGATGGGGAGGAGTTATAATGCTAATTGTATAAGAGTTAGCACCGTCCTAACTAAGGAGCAAATGAGAGCTTTGTTGGTATTTAGTAAAATTAAATTTAATATATAAATTAAATTTTAATTATCTCTCTCCTCCTTCACAAAGAACTTTAACGTGAAAAAATACTAGGGAAAAAACTACTATTAGTTTGAATTAGTAGTGATTTAGCTTGGATGTTGTATTGATTTTATAATAATCAGTAGTGATTTTGTTGTTTCTACTTTTTAGTAGCGTTTTTTAAATAGAAGAAGTTGATGATATTTGGAAAGAATAATACTGTAAATGAAAAAAGTACTACAGAGAACAAATATTACTACTAATATACAAAACACTACTAATACTTTACAAATATCAATGCTCAACTGTTGATTACAATAACAATAACTACTAATAGATATGAAAAATAATACACCACAATCACTACTAACCCAAAATCACTACTAATCAAATAATAATATAGACCTGGAAAAAATTCTCGTTCTTCCTCCACGCATGCTATCCACTAGCGATTTACGGCAATGGTGGTGGGAAGCCAATGCAGGCAAGGTCGGCGCCATTGCGGGCGAAAATCGACGCCGTCGCGGGCGGAATCGGGGAAAGAGACGCTGACGAATCGGACAAGAGACGCTGACGACTCGTCCCCGCCTCCGCAATGTCGCAAATACATGTTCACAGATGAATCTCATTGCTCCCTTCGCAATAGACGAACCTACTCCTAACATTGGCGTTTTGATTTGATCGACGGTGACTTCACATCTGTTATACCAGGACATCTGAGAATGATGGGGAAAGCCAGATCCGGAATGAAGGGTTCTCTACGCCAACGATGGAGAAAGAGACTACACCATTGACACACCCTCCTTCTCTCGTCGCCGCCTGCCTGTGTTCATATGCCATCTTGATTCTCCATCGTGCGAGGCAACAAAGGAAGCGACGGCAGCGCCGAGCAATTGAGGTTGGTGGTGTCTGTTAGGGGTGGGTATCGGTGCGGTTCGGACCGCATCGCACCGCAATGATATAAACCGCATCGCACTGCATTGATATAAACCGCACCGCATTTCGACAGCTAAGTTATCGGTGCGGTCAAACCAAACCGCATAAATTAACGGTTTGATACGGTTTAAACCGCACCGCATCTTGACCGCAATTCATTATGGTTTGTACATAATTAAATAAAAATTACTCAGTTTCCTGCCACCAAAACAGAGTAGTATATCTATAATGAGATAGGGAATAGCTGTTGCAACTATTTAATACATATACTCAATGGTTATGTCAAACCTGCTACAACTAGTTTTTCCTGGAACTGTTAATAACTCAATATGGTTATGCATACATACATACATACATAGGGAGTAGTATATATTAAAGCTGCTGCAACTATATATCCCATCAACTAAAACAAAATTCATCACGAAAGACCACCTCAGCAAACATTCCAGTTTGAAGATCAAGCCCACATAGTTCTGTGAAACCGAAGGCAACAACTCAGATACTTCAACTATGTATCCATCAACACTACAATTTGAACCTTACGAAACTAAGACATTATTCTGCTTGTGAAAAAGTCAACATCAACGATCCAACATGGCTTGTCCAAAACTTCAGCAGCCATTCTGAATTGTAGTCTCCACATTCTTAGGGTCAAGTTCAGGAATCGATCCAAACAAAACAAGTACTTCAGCTTTGACGGCTTCCGTGTAGTTTCCATCAACTTGAAAGAACAGATTATCCATAAATAAAGATGAAAGAACTTGTGGTTCTGATACTAAAAGAGCTGAAGATGCTGATATCAATATACTACTTGTTGAGTCATTTCAAAGGAAAGAGACAAGACATCTACCAAAAAAGATAAGCTTAGAGGAAAAGGGTTGGATCCCTCAACCTCAACACTGTATTCCAGCCTAACCATGTTCTGCAGCCCAGGAAAAGGGCAAGACAACGCTGTATTCCAGCCTAACCAAATCAACACTGCTCTGTATGGTAAGTTTTGTCAATTGTTATCATGGACCATTCCCACCATCGGCACTAACAATTAAAATCAAAGACGCTGATTATGATGCAATAATGATAAGGTTCATATGCTACCTTTTGTGTTTGTGCTTGCCTCTACATTAGGACTCATACGAGGAGTATTGATATGAGGAAGTGGAACATCGGAGATGCCAATAGCCTTCATCACCATGCTCAACTCTGAAATTCATAAAAAGAGAGTTTAACTACGAGATAAAACGTATATGGTAAATAAACAGTAGCATTTTCTAGGTTACTCACCTTCATCGATATTGTCAATCTCCTCTGAATCTTCTTCAACTAGACAAAGACTAGAGTCTGCTCGGAGCCAATCCTGAGTATAAATAAGAGCCTCAACAATCCTAGGAGTCAAAGAGCTCCTGAAATCATTCAGCACTCTACCTCCAGTGCTAAAAGCTGATTCGGATGAAACTGTAGAAATAGGGGAACACATATAATTTCTGCATGAAAGATAAATACAGATAGGGGAACACAATTAAAAAAATCCATGCTAGGTTTCCGTATTTAAATTTGTGTTAGAAATAAAAGGTTTTTTTTTAACTATCACTCTCCTATGTAAAGGATACTAAACAATGCATTTAAAATGGAAAAACACCAGGAGACGTATCAAATGAAGCATGTGAAAACCTTCTCCAGCTAATGTATGACATAATAGGTGGTTCCAAACTGTCACATAAACCTTAAATGAAATCCTTCATCTATCTATTCATGCTGTATAAACAAATATTTGTCTGCAGCAAAATAAGGAGAACAGGTAAACCTAGGGATATAATTAGTTGACAAAAGCATTAAACAACTTGTTCAACACCAAATTGCAGTGATTGCCAGTATGGTTACACACTCCCGACTTTGATCATGAACTTATATGCATTGCCATGCATGGATTGAGCTCAAGATGCTGATACAGAGCTACTTTTCTGCTGCGTTTGGTCATTAATTTGGAAACTGCCAAACCTATCAATTCTGCTATCTGAGGCTTCTTTCAACTGCAGCAGAGCATAACTATCTTCCTAATTTAGACCCAGCTCAAGGGCTCAACCAAACAATCCTCAGATATAGGATATGTACAGGGTCCCAAAAATCCCTGCAGCCAACTACTTGCCTCGACAACTCATATCCAATAACTAAGAAAATGCAGAATGATGAACAACCCCTCGTATTCCATTTGCGTCCATCACACCATTGAGTACAACATGGTTTCCAAGCTTAGCATTGCCGATAATCCTCACAAACCCACAATCATAGCCAAAAAAAGAATACTTACAGCCTGTAAGGGAAACTCACCTCACTGACATTAAGCACATTGCTGCTAGATATCGGTGCTTGAGCTCGTTTTCCCTTCGAGCCTTTTGATTTCATTTTGCCCTGCAAGCATATGAAATAAAATAGTTAGAACATTGAACTGTCATTAACACTAATCTAAATATCCATTGCTCTGATGCTCTCCCACTTGCAGTAACTCCACAAGTTCACTATAGTCACATTCTGTACCTAAACTATTGAAGGGAATAAAATTGATGGCTGATACAAGCTATCAGCACCTTCCCCCTAACATTCATTCTGGTTTAAGATTGGGCAATTTCAGGTGCTGGGTACTACCATTAAGGCTTATAGAAGTAGATTCCAAAACTTGTATCTCCAAGTCTCCAACGAATCGGGAACGAAAACCATGACTATATGGGTTTCGAGGAAATCACACTATTCACTATCAATCATGAATCACCCACTTCCAAACAATCCAAAGGTTGATCAGTAATCGAATTTTGTAGGGGGTGGGTTTCAACTGGATGCAGCTTTACACAGAGCTACCCTATATTCGTAACTTCAAATATAGAACCAAAGGAGAAAAGCATACCTGATCTCGCCGGTAATGGTGTTTTTTGACAGTCGGCCAAAGCACCGGAGCTCCGAGAATAGGAAAGATCGAGATGCCTTCGATCCTAGAAAATCCCGCCTCTTGGTGTATTTGACAGTCCGCCAAGGCTGGGGAAGATGGCGCCGTGGAGAGAAGATGGCGGAATGAGAGAATGGTCAGATCTGGTGCTGCCGGAAAGAAGATGGCGCCGTGGA